GTGTTCAGCAGAAGTTTGTGGTTACAGGAAAGTGGGTGCAGGAGGGAAGAGTATATGGAGAAAAAGAGAGAGGTTAAGAGAGTGGTGAAGCAATGTAAAAAGAGAGCAAATGAGAGAGTGGGTGAGCTGTTATCAACAAATTTTGTTGAAAATAAGAAAAAGTTTTGGAGTGAGATTAACAAGTTAAGGAAGCCTAGAGAACAAATGGATTTGTCAGTTAAAAATAGGAGAGGAGAGTTATTAAATGGAGAGTTAGAGGTATTGGGAAGATGGAGGGAATATTTTGAGGAATTGTTAAATGTTGATGAAGATAGGGAAGCTGTGATTTCGTGTATAGGGCAAGGAGGAATAACATCTTGTAGGAGTGAGGAAGAGCCAGTTGTGAGTGTGGGGGAAGTTCGTGAGGTAGTAGGTAAAATGAAAGGGGTAAGGCAGCCGGGATTGATGGGATAAAGATAGAAATGTTAAAAGCAGGTGGGGATATAGTTTTGGAGTGGCTGGTGCAATTATTTAATAAATGTATGGAAGAGGGTAAGGTACCTAGGGATTGGCAGAGAGCATGCATAGTTCCTTTGTATAAAGGCAAAGGGGATAAAAGAGAGAGTGCAAAAATTATAGGGGGATAAGTCTGTTGAGTGTACCTGGTAAAGTGTATGGTAGAGTTATAATTGAAAGAATTAAGAGTAAGACGGAGAATAGGATAGCAGATGAACAAGGAGGCTTTAGGAAAGGTAGGGGGTGTGTGGACCAGGTGTTTACAGTGAAACATATAAGTGAACAGTATTTAGATAAGGCTAAAGAGGTCTTTGTGGCATTTATGGATTTGGAAAAGGCGTATGACAGGGTGGATAGGGGGGCAATGTGGCAGATGTTGCAAGTGTATGGTGTAGGAGGTAGGTTACTGAAAGCAGTGAAGAGTTTTTACGAGGATAGTGAGGCTCAAGTTAGAGTATGTAGAAAAGAGGGAAATTTTTTCCCAGTAAAAGTAGGCCTTAGACAAGGATGTGTGATGTCACCGTGGTTGTTTAATATATTTATAGATGGGGTTGTAAGAGAAGTAAATGCGAGGGTCTTGGCAAGAGGCGTGGAGTTAAAAGATAAAGAATCACACACAGGGTGGGAGTTGTCACAGCTGCTCTTTGCTGATGACACTGTGCTCTTGGGAGATTCTGAAGAGAAGCTGCAGAGATTGGTGGATGAATTTGGTAGGGTGTGCAAAAGAAGAAAATTAAAGGTGAATAAAGGAAAGAGTAAGGTTATGAGGATAACAAAAAGATTAGGTGATGAAAGATTGAATATCAGATTGGAGGGAGAGAGTATGGAGGAGGTGAACGTATTCAGATATTTGGGAGTGGACGTGTCAGCGGATGGGTCTATGAAAGATGAGGTGAATCATAGAATTGATGAGGGAAAAAGAGTGAGTGGTGCACTTAGGAGTCTGTGGAGACAGAGAACTTTGTCCTTGGAGGCAAAGAGGGGAATGTATGAGAGTTTAGTTTTACCAACGCTCTTATATGGGTGTGAAGCATGGGTGATGAATGTTGCAGCGAGGAGAAGGCTGGAGGCAGTGGAGATGTCATGTCTGAGGGCAATGTGTGGTGTGAATATAATGCAGAGAATTCGTAGTTTGGAAGTTAGGAGGAGGTGCGGGATTACCAAAACTGTTGTCCAGAGGGCTGAGGAAAGGTTGTTGAGGTGGTTCGGACATGTAGAGAGAATGGAGCGAAACAGAATAACTTCAAGAGTGTATCAGTCTGTAGTGGAAGGAAGGCGGGGTAGGGGTCGGCCTAGGAAGGGTTGGAGGGGGGGAAAGGGGATTTTGTGTGCGGGGGCTTGGACTTCCAGCAGGCATCCCGTGACGGTTTGATAGGAGTGAAGGGGAAAAAAGGTTTTTTAATACTTGACGTGCTGTTGGAGTGTGAGCAAAGAAACTTAGAAGGGGTTTTGGGGGAAACCCACCGGACTTGAGCCGGAGAGGGGAAGACGGCCTGATTTGAAGGAGGGGGTTAATTTGCATTTAAAAACGTATGTAAAGCACCCTTTGGGCAAGACAGGTGGAGTGAATGATGGTGAAAGTTTTTTCTTTTTCCGGGCCCCCCCTCCCTTGGGGGGAACGCCATGTGATAATAAAAAAAAATAAATATAAATTTTTGTTGATATAAAGGGGGCAAATGGCACATGTTTTCTTTTGGTATCACCGTTTAAGGGGCAAAATTCATCCATTCCTCAGGCTTGGGCGGTGCCCAAAAAACAGTAGGCTTAAAACCCCTTTGAACGCCGCACTGAGCCACGGGAACAAAAAACCGCTGCTGGGGACCCCCGTTACCCTGATGAGTTTTTTTCCCAGCCCTTTAAGGAATTTAATGCACTCTTTCCCCAGACCAAAGGGCCTGACTAGGGGAAAAACTATAATAAATGGGCAATTTTTCCCCATTTTTTTCAAACTTTTGGGACCCCTAACTGGCGCTCCCCTCCTCCTCCCGGTGTATTGGAGATAGGTATCAGCCAAGGTAGATGCACATGTTATCCCCACCACCTTTTTTCCCCATCTGTCCAGGTTTGAAGGGTAAACCCCTCTGACGCTTCTGGCCCCAATAAAATCTGCATATTGGGGGGGCTCCCTTATGTGGGCACCCAGCTGTTGTAACCCCTCTTGAAAAATGTTTTAACCTCCTTTCTTGCAACTTTCCCTGGGTTTACGCACCAGACATGGTACCCGAATCGTCTGCTGCTTACTCCCAAAAATACACCTGTGTTCGGCGAGAATAGGGGGGCAACCCGAAGGGCAACACCAATGCGGTTCTGGGCGGGCGTGTGCCAAGGCGGGAGTTGGGAACAGCCAACTAAACCCCAGCAGAGGGCTCTCACTGCCGGGGGGGCGGGCTTTTTCCCTTCCCTACACACACTGCAGCATTTTTTGAGGCTATTTTTTTCCACTTTTGGGCCCATCCCATGCGATTGTTTGTAGTTGTTGGGGGAAGCAGGTCTGGTTTAGACCCCCGTTAGATTATCCCAATCATTGCTCCCGTCAATAAATTTTTTGGTCCGGACTCCAATTTTGTCCCAAAGATGTTCAGGGAGAATCGCTGCTAAAAAAGCTCTCTGAATGAAATACACGAGGACAAAAAAGCAGGTAATAAATCTGTGATGACTTGCGGACACCAATGCCTCCTAGCTGACGGGAAGGTAGCTTGTTCCACGCCCTTTTCTAGAGAAAGGGTTAAGTACTTTCGTAAAATCTGCCTCAAAATTGTCTATTCGTGCAGGGTTACATATGAAGGTGCACATCTTAAAATAGTAAACCTGGGCAACTCAAAAATTTTGTGAAAGGAGAAGGCATTGTGGGTGTCCAAGCCATTCGTTGTTCCATTTCCTTAACTTTTCCCAAATTTCCCCCTGAGAATTGTGTCAATGGCATTGCTTCCCAAGGTGCCCCAGAAGATATTATTTGTGGCACAATGACTGTGCCCCGGTGGTTTTTTGATCCACCATTTATCACTTGTTACTGATGAGAGATTTTTACTTTGGATGGATTCAGGGGAGACCCTTTCCCCCCCTGCATTACCCGGTAAGGTCATTTAGGAGGGGCCCTTTTTTACCCGCAGTGTGCCATCATCCCGGGGCCAGATGTAATTCTTTTACTGATGGGGAAAATTTCTGGGGTCCATTTTCGTCTCATAAACATGCAAGGTTTTTAGGTACATCTTGCTACTTCTACTTACACTTTGTCCACAACTACAGTACAACATATATATACACACCCCCTTGGATTTCTTTTTTTTTTCTTTCTAGTTCTTGTTCTTTTATATTTCCTCTTTCCCCATGGGGGGAAATGAACAAAAATTTTTCCCCCGTGCCTGTGTGTTTAAGAGGTGACTAAAATGCCAGGGAAAAAGGGGGTATAACCCCTTCTCCTGTATATATTACTAAAAAGTAAAAGGGGAAAATTTTTGTTTTTCCTTTTGGGGGCCACCCCCCCTCGGTAAATACGGGTGGTGTGTTGAAAAAAAAAATATATGTTAATATCCTAGTAGTAGGGTTTGGGAACCAACCCCCCGGGGGGGTACACGTCCGCCGAGCAGGAAAAAAAAGCCGTTTAAATTTTTTTTACATATGGGAGGTTGCTGGGTCATTTTTTCTGTCTCATAACTGCAAGATTTCAGGTAGTCTTTCTACTTCGCTTAACTTTGGCACACTACACATAATGTTAAAAAACATATATATACATACATACCCCTCCGGGGTTTTTTTATTTTTCTTTCAGTTTTTTTCTGTTTATTTTCCTCTTATCTCCATGGGGAAGTGGAACAGAATTCTTCCTCCGTAAGCCATGCATGTTGTAAGAGGCGACCAAAGTGCCGGGAGCACGGGGCTAGTAATCCCTTCTCCTGTATATATTACTAAATGTAAAAGGAGAAACTTTCGTTTTTCCTTTTGGGCCACCCCGCCTCGGTGAGATACGGCCGGTGTGTTGAAAGAAAGATATATATACTATTATATTCTATTAGTATTACACATTTAAAGTCTGCCCAAAATGCTCTGCATAACTAGGGGCTTTTCTATGAAAGAATCTTTGTAACATGTGCATCTTCTTGAAAAATAAATGAAAATGATTCTTATGATTAATACTGTAGTCATTTCCTCAGAGAGAAGTTCAAGAACAACAATGTGAGGCTTCAAAATTAAGCAGGTAACATTCAATTCTACATTTACAAACATATACAAAGGGATTAATACATCAAGTGCATGAATAATATGGCATCAAATAAATCTTCTATACAATGGACAGAGGAAGAAAAGTAGTTTAAGAATTACAAATATCAACAGTTTATGTGCTAACTACTGCAAATAAACATATCCAGGAATTTCATTCTGAAAAAATTATAAGTACATTTTAATCAGACATTTCTGAATATACAGAAGAAGCATAACTTTTGACAAATTATTTTTTAGAGTATTTGAGACTGCAAACAGTTCATAAAACACAACTTATCTCTTACCTGTTCCTGCTGCCCCCACCAGATGTCTTGGTGCTACCAGGAGTAGGTTTCTCTGGTCGTGATTTAGAAGTGGAGGAAGAAGCAGCAGCTGCTGGCTTTGATCTCGACGTGGATGGTGTTTTTGATGTAGATGAAGATACCTTAGACGTAGATGATGATGTCTTAGAGGATGGTGCTGCCTTCAATGTAGAAGATGAAGTTTTGCTTGATGATGCAAGTGCTTTGGAGGCAGATGACGGCTGTTTAGTTGATGAGGAGGTCTTGGCTGCTGCTGCTGCTTTTGGTGTGGACGAAGAAGTTTTAGATGAGGATGATGCTTTTGGTGCTGATGAAGAAGTCTTAGATGATGATGCTTTTGGAGCTGATGATGAAGTCTTAGATGATGATGTTTTTGGTGCAGATGATGAACTTTTAGTTGATGATGGGGGGGCCCTGGATGAAGTCGTTTTGCCTGGAGGTGCCTTAGTTCTTGATTTGTCTGTGGCCCCGGTTGGCTTTTTTTCTTTTTCCTTCATTTTAACACTGCAAGGTTCATACTGAAACAAAGCCAGATTAAGAATTACATATCCATTTTTATTTTTATAAATTAATTTTATTAATATGCAACAACACACTGCTAGCTATCTAAACAAAATAAAATTTAAAAGTTTATTACAAGTCATAATATCTTAAAAACAGAAACTGCCTTTCATAAGAAAGTTTAACAAAAACCTAAGATTAAATTTTGAGTAGTATGTATATATTTCTAAAATTACTTAAACACAGCCAGCTTAAATCCAAAAGCTGCGTATGTGGTTTATCTGGAGTTTATCTGGAGAGAGTTCCGGGGGTCAACGCCCCCGCGGCCCGGTCTGTGACCAGGCCTCCTTAGGTCAGTGTCCCAGGATGCGACCCACACCAGTCGACTAACACCCAGGTACCCATTTTACTGATGGGGAACATAGACAACAGGTGGAAAGAAACACGTCCAATGTTTCTACTCTGGCTGGGAATCGAACCCAGGCCCTCACCGTGTGAAGCGAGAGCGTTAACCACCAGGCCACATTTTCCATAAACATTTTGTCAAGAGAATGAGTCTCCAAGAATACCATGGCAATGACAATGTTATACGAATGAATTAAATAACATACTGACAAGGCAAGCTTCTTGTCCTATGGTCAACACTACAAAGGTAGACTAAGATACAAATTTCATGGGATTTGGCTTTCGCTCTTTAAATATATCCAATTTATAGTTTTATTATTATTTTTTAACAAAAATGCATTATTTCCCAATAAAGTTTTTCAATAATTTCCTGGAAGTGGTGTCGAAACACTACCCATCAACATAAGTAAGGACATCACGTTAAGTGGTAATTTAGAATGTGTCCAGTTTTTAAGATTACCCATATATATTGTTCTTGTAAACTACATTACCTGCTATTACTATAAACTGCCACAATGACTTTGGTAGTGTGTGTGGTGAATGCCTTTGTGCTCCTGAGCAATGGTGACAAATTTCCCACATTTTCTCCCTGGTACACCTGTTCTCATTATACTCTGCCCTCTGGGCATATCAGTTGAGGGTGGAAATGCTATACATCAGCTTTGTTATCCTGCTCTGTGGATATTCTAATGGGTTCAATGAGGGGTGAGGGGAAGAAGTCAGTCACTTACTCTGGTGAAGTGTGTTCATCTGGCTCTTCTGGGGTTTAGGTGGAGAGGCTCACCTAACTTACTTGAGAATGGCTACTCCCTTTCATATTTCTTGGAGAAATGTTCTATTCATAGGGGAAGCGTTAAGTCTGCAAGGTCATACAAATTTTTGGGAATGGTAAACATTCAGGCTTCATGTGTATCTAGGGAAAGAAGTATAATTTCAAATTCCAGGGATCAAAAGCCCTGTATGAAAATCAAAGGAACTCCTCCGAGGGATTTCAGGAAAGAATATTAGTGCCCCTCTGTATATTTGATTTATAGGGAAAAGTTAAATCAGTAGAGGTCATACAGTGCCTGGGAAAATAAGAGGCAATCAAGTTCAATCTAAGAAAAGGCAGGATATGTCCAGTTCCTTGGATCAAGAGACCCTCACCGATGGTGAGGTACATACCTCTCTTCAGGGTTCCCTTTCCCCAGTGCTGACCAAATTTGGGGAATATTTACTCCCTGGGCACCAAAATGTAGAGCTTGATGCTGCTTTGATGTGTGATAGCCTGTTAAACACCAACAATCACTACAGCAAGAAGGAAAATGACTGATAACTAGAGGGGAAGACACGTCAGGAGTGGTCACTTAGGTCACTTTCATTGAAAAGTTTCGGTCCTTGGATTTTGATCACTTCAAACAGATCGTAATCATTCCCCAAGGACCGAAACATCTTCGATACGGTGTTCTAAGTGTCCAATTCTTTCAACAGGTATAAATTACTTTTCAAATGCTGGGACTCGGTCACCGGAACCATCATGTGTCTCTGTAACCTTGAAATTCCTCACACGTGGGTACAGAATATCCAATAAAACTCGTCAATCCAAGGTAGTCCTCACAAAATTAACCCCTTTCATCAGGTAAAATTATTTCACCATACACTTGATCGTGAAAATCCACATACACCAACATTCCAGCTCGTTCCATCCTCCCAGTATTTCTTACCGAATTTCACTCCAACTCGTGGTCACTCACGGCTACCATGGGTCACTAGAGCAAGACGCATCTTGGATCACCCTCACGGAACACCGAAATTGGTTTAAAGAGGTTTTATTCAGAGGTTTATCCTGGTGTGGAGGGCAGCCGCGAGTGTCAGCTGTCATGTGTAACCAAAACAAACCCAGGAATCTCCCACAATGCCTCGACGCCACACAGCCGCGCATAGCCTTGCGCTACAAATCGCAGATATTATCATTATCAGCATTATCCTTACATTTGTAGGGAAACGATAAGTCCGTAGGGGTCAACCGGCAGCTGGAGGGAATGAGAAGTAGACTGGTTTGAAGGCAATGAAAGGAGGACACGTTCAATTCTTACTGTTTGGTGTCCCCTCACCGGCATCAATGAACCTCTCTTGAAGGGACGAGTAAATTATTATTAATGATAGCACTGCATTTGTGAGGGAGCGATAAATCCATAGGGGTCATGCTGCGCCTGGAGGGAATGGGAGGTAAAGTGGTTGGAATGCAAGGGATGACGAGTCCAGTCCTCTGGGTTGAGTGCTTCCCTCACAGACTTGGCGGAACATCTCTTGAGATATAACTGTAGTTAAACAGAAGCTTCTTGACGATGTTCCCCCCCTGACACACTTGCGTTCTTGACGACGTTTCATCCACACAGTGGCTTTATATGGTCAATAAAGCTTCCTCGTAATTGTACATGTGCACATTTCTCATTACCTGCCCGTCACTCAATAGAATTATTTATTGTAACAGTAATACTCAAATATTCACTCATTACGATAGATTTTATTGACGAGGAAATTTAAAAGAAAATAAATAACTATTAGCCGATTCAGTAATAAAATAATTTGTCTGTAATTACTGCACGTAATATTTCATTTTTCAATTCCAGATGTGTAAATTACTGTAGTGTCTTGTTAATACCTCTGTATACGTCCTAATCTAATGGAAAAAATTATGTCTGGCTATCTACATCTTTTTTTAAATTTAGAACATTAAATAAGTCACATTGTGAGATTGCCTTCATTCTGTATGACCTTTTACAAAGTTAAATCAAGAATTATATTTACCAAACTCTCTTGAGGGGTTCTTTCTCTTAGCGAATATAAGCCTAGAGTTTACAATAATCTTTATTCTAGGGGTTGAGCTCTTCTTGCCTGGTGGTGAAAAGGTTAGACTAGTGTAGTCGATAGGCTTTCAACCTCATTAACCAAACTACCAACCTAACTTCTGTCACACAGGTTGACTTTCCTGTCATACTCCATCACACAATATGAAGTTTTAATTCGGTTATTTAACTCGTAGAGCAAATAACCCAGTCAAGTCGCTCTGTCTGGTTGATATCTATTGATCCTGTTCCCCAGGATGCGACCACGACAGTCGGTTAACACCCAGGTACCTACTTTCTATTAGGTGAACAGGGGCAACAGGCGTAAGGAAATATGTTCAACACTTCCAGTTGTCCAGGGACTGAACCCAGGTCCTTCGGATATGAACCTGAGGTTCTACCACTTTAGCCACAAACCACTTTATCCGCACCAAGCTTTCATTGTGCCTAAATTAATCAACCGTACTCAGAGATATAACTCAAAAATTTAGTTCGGTGCCTATGCACTGCCCGCTGAGATGTCACGCTGGAACATCTGTCTTACCGGGATGAAATATTCAGAGGCATGACTGCCATCCTGGACAACTGGTGGTTACACCCTCGTCCACTTGTATGACACAGCCGGTGGTCACGCCCTTGTCCACCTGTTAGACACAGCTGGTTGTCACACTCTCGTCCACCTGTAACATACAGCTAGTGGTCACACCTTTGTCCACCTGTATGCCACAGCTGGTGTTCACAGCTTCATCCACCTGTATGACAGCTGGTATTTCTACGGGGTCCAGCTACCCGAAATTTATCAAGTGATATTTTGAAACATTGCTTTTGATGTTATGGTCACTACTAAGTGTAGCCTAGATTACAGACTAGTATCGCATTCACTGGTTGATAGACTGGTATCGCAATCCCTGATAGACTGGTGTCGCAATCCCTGACAGACTGGTGTCTCACTCACTGAGTAATAGATTGGTGTCGCACTCACTGACTGATAGACTGTTGTTGCACTCACTGACTCATAGACTCGTGTTGCACTCACTGCCTGATAGACTGGTGTCGCAATCCCTGATAGACTGGTGTCGCAATCCCTGATAGACTAGTGTCGCAATCCCTGATGGACTGGTGTCGCACTCTCTGGCTGATAGATAGGTGTCACAGTCACTGTCAGTTAGTACAACTGTACCTCAGTGAAACGATGAATTTAATATACGGCACTAAGGAAAGTTAATGTACGACACTTTTAAACAAAAGTAAGACACTGCTAACAAGCATACGACACTATATACAAGAATATGACACTGCTAACAAGCATACGACAATATATACAAGAATATGACACTGCTAACAAGCATACGACACTATATACAAGTATATGACACTGCTAACAAACATACGACACTATATACAAGTATATGACACTGATAACAAACATACGACACTATATACAAGTATATGACACTTTATAACAAACATACGACACTATATTTCAAGTATATGACACTGATAAAAAAAACATACGCCACTATATACAAGTATATGACACTGCTAACAAGCATACGATACTATATACAAGTATATGACACTGCTAACAAGCATACGACAATATATACAAGAATATGACACTGCTAACAAGCATACGACACTATACACAAGTATATGACAATGCTAACAAACATACGTCACTATATACAAGTATATGACACTGCTAACAAGCATACGACACTATATACAAGTATATGACACTGCTAACAAGCATACGACACTACATACAAGTATATGACACTGTTAACAAGCATACAACACTATATACAAGTATATGACACTGCTAACCAGCGCACAACTATGTTAAAATCCTACAACATTGCAAACAAGTGTATGACATTGCCAACAGGCATACGACACTATTAACACGCTTGCAACACTGACAATCAACAATCGACACTATTAACAAGCGTACGACCAACGCTAACAAGCGTATGACACTGCTAACAATCATACGGCAACGTTAACAAGTGTACAACACTGGTAACAAGCGTTTGACACTACTAACAATCATACGACACTACTAACAATCATACAACACTACTAACAATCTTACAACACTATTAACAATTATATAACACTGCTAACAATCATACAACACTGCTAACAATCATAAAACCTATAACAATCATACAGCCTAATAACAATCATACAACACTGCTAACATCATACCCAACACTTGCAATTATACAACACTGCAAACAATCATACAACACTACTAACAATTATACAGCACTAATAACAATCATACAACACTACTAACAATCATACAACACTGCTAACAATCATACAACACTGCTAACAATATACAACACTAATTAAAAATCATACAACACTGCCCAAACAATCATACAACACTACTAACAATCATACAGCCTATAACAACCATACAAAACTACTAAACAATCATACAACAATGTAACAATCTACAACACTGCTAACAATCATACAACACTGTAGCAATCATACAACACTAATAACAATCATACAACACCACTAACAATCATACAGCACTAATAACAATCATACAAAAATGCTAACAATCATACAACATAATAAACAATCATACAACATGCTAACAATCATACAACACTAATAACAATCATTATAACACTACTAACAATCATACAACACTGCTAACAATCATACAACACTACTAAAAATCATACAACATGCTAACAATCATTTCAAACACTACTGACAATCATTACAACACTGCTAAAAATCATATAAACACTACTAACAATCATACAACACTTCAAACAATCATACAACACTACTAACCAATCATACAACACTATAACAATCATACAACACTACTTAAAAATCATATACACTGCTAAAAATCATACAACACTGCTAACAATCATACAACACTTTCTAACAATCATACAAAAACTACTATAAATTTATACAACACTACTAACAATCATACAACACTGCTACAATCATACAACACTAATAACAATCATAAAACATTTTCTAACAATAATACAACCCCTACTAAAAAATCATACAACACTACGAAAAACCGTACAACACTACTAACAATCATACAACACTGCTACAATCATACAACATGCTAACAATCCCTACAAACACTGCTAAGAATATACAACACTACTAACAATCATACAACACTGCTAACAATCATACAACACTGCTAACAATCATACAACACTACTAACATACACAAACACTACTACTACTCTATCATACAACACTACTAACAATCATACAACACTGCTTAAAAATATACAACACTGCTAACAATCATTCAACACTACTAACAATCAAGCAACACTGCTAACAATCATACAACACTACTAACAATCATACAGCACTAATAACAATCATACAACATTACTAACAATCACACAACATGCTAACAATCATACAAATTGCTAAAATCATACAACATGCTTTGCAATCATACAACCTACTAACAATCATACAACACTACTAACAATCATACAGCCATAATACAATATACAACCTGTTAACAATCATACAACACTACTAAAAATATACAACACTCCTAACAATATACAACCTAATAACAAAAATATAAGACTACTAACAATCATACAACATGCTAACAATCATACAACACTACCCAACAATCATACAACACTGCTAACAATCATACAACACTACTGACAATCATACAACACTGCTAAACAATCATACAACTTACTGGGCAATCATGCAACACTTCTAACAATCTACAACACTACTAACAATCATACAACACTAGTAACAATCATACAACATTCTAACAATCATTATAACGCTGCTAACAATCTTTCCACACTGCAACAATCTTACAACACTGCTAACATCATACAAAAACTATAACAATCATACAAAATACTAACAATCTTTCAACACTACTAACCATCATTTCAACAATATACAATCATACATCACTATAACAATCTTTCAAACACTGCCAACAATCATATAACACTGCTAACAATCATTACAACACTGTTAACA